GAAACGTATCTTTAGATATCATAATGGTACTAGAACTTTAGGGCTTTGATATCCCAAAGGCACCCACATTGATCTACTTCTATTAGGATGCCGATTGGGCCGGATGCACAATCGATCGTAAAAGTACTAGCGGAATGTGCCATTTTTAGATTGCACTTGTATCATGGCTTAGCCAAAAACAAAATTCTATTGCATTGTCTACCGTTAAAACCGAATATACTCGACTACTAGTTGTTGTGCACAATTTCTATGGATGAAACAAACTCTTAGTGATTATCGTCTATCCTTTGATCATATACCCATTATGTAAGTAACACTAGTGCCATAAACTTGTCTGAAAATCCCATTTTATACTCTAGGACGAAGCACATTGAAATTAGCCATCACTTTCTAAGAGATCATACTCAAAAGGGTGATATTGTGTTAGAATTCGTAAACACGGAAATTAGCCAATATTTTCACAAAACCTCTAGCTTTTGATCGTTTCTCATATATTAGAAAAGGTTTAGGTATTATTGATGAATTTGATGTACATGATTGAATTCATAACTACATGCGCTTATGTGTTCTCATTGCATTATTATATTTACATAAATTTGGTGTTTTTAATATATAAAAAAGTGGGGGATAGACGTCCGGTAAACCCGTCCAGTTTGACAGAAAAACGCGATTAAATCCCCCTTTCGCAAACCAGTCCATTGTTCTTCCTCTCTTCTTCATTTTTCTCTCGTCTCTCTCCTTCATTCTCTCCACCTAAATCATCAAATACTTCTCAAAATCAATAAACCCACACTTCAAATCCTTTCAAAATTTCAATTTTCAATAATTGCATTCCAATTTTTCCCAAAAATTTGAAACCCTAGAACGTGAATTTTCCTTCAAATCTTCTTTATTTTTCTACAACGTTGGGGTCTAGAAGAATGGGGAAAAAACTCAAGAGCATAGTGAGGCGATCTCCTCAACAATCATCTGACGAAGAATTCGATATGGACCCCGACGTGCCGATCAACCCATTTTAATAGATAAAAACATTGATTTTGTTGACTTTACTATTGAAGCACCCGCATTTCATATTGAAGAATATGTTGAAAACATGGGGTAGGTGTCGGTAGCTACTCTAGAAGAACATGCATATCATCGGCCTATGAAAGAATTTTATAAAAATATGGTTATTTCTCCTCGTTTGGATGAAATTTCATGTTTACTAAAAAATGTTCGTATTACCATCAATAAAGCTCTCATTCATGAAATTTCATGTTTACTAAAAAATGTTCATATTTGAGACGTGTGCTATCCAATTTTTTTTTCATAAAACTCATCCTACTTTTGGAGGGTATAACACTTTCAAGGTATGTCGTCGAGTTACCGGAAAGGATTTTGAAAACATCACAAAAATTAGAGCAAATCAACTAACACTTCCATGCAAAGTTTTACAAAACATCATTGCACATGTGATTCTTTCTCGAAAGGGTGACAAAGTAAACATTTTTATCTTTTTATCCTCGATTATTTTCTTATTGGACGAAAACTAGATTTTTCAATTATTGGGTTAGGTCTCATGAAACTTGTACATTCCATGCTTCATCTTAAAACTTTGCCTTACGGAATGCTTCTTACAAAAAAATTTAAACATTTTGACATTCCACTACACGATGAGACTTTTGTTAAACTCTTGCCCACCGACACTATCAACATTCAAACCCTTAAACGAATGAAAATAGTAGAAGAACACATTCAATGGGTGGCACACACAAAAGGGTTTGACCCCAGATCGGGTCCATCAACTCTACCTTTTGAAGGTGATGAGGATAACGATGCTGATGATATACCACAATTTTCGCACCCTTCTCACGATGTTCCTATCTCTAGTGCTCATCGCTCTTCGTTTGGTGGTTTCACATTTACCGATGATCACTACAATCTTCTCAATGATCGTATTGATTCTCTTCAGTGGATGGACTTGGCGGGATGCTTCGGGAGCTGCAGGTCCAACAAGACACCATTCGAGCTCAACAAAATGTCATCCAAGCACAACAGGCAGACAAGCAGGCTCAGTAGAGAACTTTCTACGCTTACTTCTATGCACTTTTTCCTCTACAGCCTCCTCCGGAGCTGTAGATCTCGATTTTGTTGCTATTGTCTTTATTATGACGCATTCACAATCTTTATGTTTAGCTTCTTTTGTTTTGAACATCATTATCTACGGTTATTTTCTTTTATAATCAATGCTGTGGTTATTTTGATCCATACTTTGCCTTATGTTTTTTGTTTATGCCAAACAAAGGGAGAATGCAAAGTGAAATGATTATGCTTAATTCATTTTTACAATAATATGCTTAGAGTATATGAAAAAGGGGAAAATAGGGAAACTCATATTTGGAATACATGGTTATCAAGTTGTAAAAGAAGGGAGGAATGCAAATTGCATGATAAATTGATATCAAATTGCTCAATCATATTGTTTGTCATAATCAAAAAGAGGAAAATTGTTAACCCACGGTTCATTTCGAGTTTTGATTATAACAAACAAATTATTCTTATCTCTGACATTCATATTCGAGTTTTCATTATTACATGTTACGAACCTAATGAAAATCGAGCATTCACAAATCAAGTTTAGAAATCGAGTACTCGCGTCAAGACAATCGAAGACAAATCAAGCACTTGAGCTAAATTCAAAATCAAGCAACAAATCGTGCACTCTCGCCAAATCAATCGAAGATATTAGACTTATTTGATTTGAATCCATATGCAAAGGTAAAATATTTTAATTCTTAGCAATGAATCACTTCAAGAATGTAGGTTAAATTTTTATGCACGAGATAAACTTTTCACAAAAACGCTCACATGGAAAATTATTTTCGATATGATAAAAATCCTCACTTGACTTTAAAATTCTTTACCAATGATACTTATATTGAAAAGGTAAGTGAATATATTCGTAAAGTATATACACTTACTTAAATAATTAAGAAAAGAGAAAACCAGAAAATTCTGGTTTGGTGGACGTCTGGTGGATCAGGCAGATGTTTGATGGCTTCAATGATCAAATTCCTTATCGTTCTGTTTCTGAAGTACGGCTATTTTCAGTCGCCCGGTCAGAGCGGACACCTGATAGGGGTCGTCCGGTTGGACAAAACTTTTTTTCGTTTTGACTGCTATAAATGCTACACCACTTTACAATCATTCCACATTTCCAAGAGCATTCAAGTCAAATTCTTTTGAGAAAAAATTGCATTGATTTCTCATATCATTTATTATCAAATAATTTTAGTTTTAAAAATCTTTTAATCAAATTAACTTTTGAAAATCACTCTACACATTAAAGTTTTTCATACATAACACCTGAGCTTCATTCATTACTATTTATTAAAGAGTTAGCATATTTCTCTCTTAATACTAAATTCATATCCTTTATTAAGAAAGAAGTTTCAATTTGTATAATTTACTTTCTTTGTACTTGTGACTCGTATTGAGGTCCTGTAAAGCTCAACGTTGTAAAATGATCAGTTCTCCTTATTTGTAAGTCACCGAAAGTTTTGTAAAGAGTTGGATTGCACCACAAGTCAATCAACATAGTGAAATTGGTCTTGCTTGTGCCGAAAAACTTGGTAATGGAGGACGTAGATCATTGCGTTTGATCGAATATCAATAATTATATTGTTTGCATTCTCTATCGCTCTCTACTTATTGCTTTCATATTCATGCTTATTATTTGAATTAATCTATTTAGTTATTAAGTGTTTGGTTTTAGATTAATTTTTCAAAAAAGTTTTAAAAATCAAGTCACTCCCTCTTTGTTAGCTATTCTTGGGCTATCAAAAACTGCAACAATCATAACGTGTTCTTCAAAATGGCCCACTTCATCCACTATTAATGAAAAAAATACATGCTAACAATAAGAGGTTTGCAATGCAGCGAAAGAATTAACAAGTCCTATATTTAATATGAGTATCAAAATTGGATTTTGTAGACTATTTGTTGACTAAAAAAATACGCTGCAAACTTTAATGAATTCCTTGCAAGGAATAAAACAATACGCGAAGAGAATGAAGGTTCAATAAGTATGCACAAGATAGTACGAATCACTCTCCAATCCAGACTTGCTACATATTGTTAATACGCATGTAAATCATGCCTCTTTTAACTGAATCAATTATTAAGTAGTTAATAAGGAGCCGCCATCTTTCATTCTGTCAAAATGGTGGAATTATCCCAAAGTTTGGAGGGAAATCTATAAATACCCTCTCATTCAAATATAAATGCATACAATTTAAATATCTCCCTCTCAAATAGTCATTTAATCCCTAACTCTTGTTTGAACATCAAAACTAGTGAGATTTAGAGGTGAGAGTCCTGACGAGATGAGAGGATTTATTGATCTAATTTTTATCATCAACATATCACATATTATATATAAGAGCACATATGTCAATGTTTAATTGCATAATTTTATTGTTGTGACCACATACAAAAAATCTCTACCATATTTTTGAGTCCTTGAATAACATAAGAAGATAAAAGGGTTTAAAAGTGGAATTAAGAAAAAAAATATGCAAAAGAAATTTTGTAAAACACTGTAATTTATAAAATACCCACGTATTTTTTGTTTATGACAAAATTATTATATTCTTGTACATAGACAAAATAATTGAATCTTACACTTGACTTGCTTTGTCATAACAAGAAATTAATTTTTGTGATGTTGACTTCCCGATTCCTACAACAAGAGGTAGAAAATTAAAGAAAGCTAGCATAGACAAAAATCTTAATACACGAAAAATTATTAAACATGGGCTGTCCAATTATTACCATTCCCAATAGATTAAAAGTTACAACTATCATAGTCACACCAACCACATACATATCATACAATCTTACACTAATTAAACTTCCAAACATCTAACAGATTACACCATCCAAACTGACAAATTTCGTGTAACTATACGTATCTATATATAAGAGGGGTATTGGGTGGAGGGGAGGGGAGGGGGGACTGTCTATTGATCAACAACAGAATTAGATCTCGGCAGGGATGAAGAAGAATTAATGAACTCAATGCAATCATCAATGGCTTCAGCCCTTTGAGAATCAATGGGAGCAACACTTGGCTTCGATTGCTCCGAGGTTGATGATGTAACTCTGGGACAACCTTTCTTCTTGTCAGATTTTCTAAAAAGTGCTGCCATTTTTTCACCTAGAGTTCTCAGATACTTCATGGGATATGAATTTGGTAGCCTGAAATTGCAGCTTTTTATGCAGTTTGTTTGCTTCTGGTCCTTGATTTTCTTGCAGGACTTCTGTTTGCAAAACATGGTTGGTTTTGTTTCTGTTTTTGTATTAGCAACAGCAGCAGCATCTGCTCCACAACACCCTCTTGCAGACATCAATTGACAGAATATTGTGTGCTTTTGTGTGTGTCTGAGAGAGAGAGAGAGAGAGAGAGAGAGAGAGAGAGAGGACAAATAGGAGTGAGGTGAGTGTAGTAGAATGGGGACTGCAAGTGGTGCTCTTAAATAGGACTTTGAGTCTGACAACAGAGAGCAGACTAATTCTTCTTCTTAATAAATTTGGGAGCAAGTGGTGCTATTATACTACTTGAGTATGATAAGGGAGGACAAATTGAGTCTTTTTCTCAATAAATTTGTGATGTATTGTGATAATCTATGGAAAGATTTAGCAAGGAATGCTACAACAACAATAAATGTAGTCTCATTTCCTAGAAATTTGCAAATAGTGACTCCAATTATTTCTCTTAGATTGGTTTAATTTATTGCTGAAATCTATTTAAAAATTAAGTCATTGTTTGACACCGTTAAATTTTTTTAAAAAATTCTCTTTCTTAATTTTAACCATGCATTATCGAAATAAAATAATATTACACACAAATCTAAAACTTTTCATTATTTTTCAGCCATACGTTCTCTCATAAAATACTATTCCAAAATTTATAAATTCTTCAAAATGGGGGCCTAACAATGACTAAGTAAAAAACAAGGACAACAACTAGTCACGACAAACCAAGTCATGATTCTAATAAATTTAAGATCAATAACATAAGTACTTTATCCTCTCGTTCGATTGACCATTAAGTCTAAAGAAAGTATGAATATGACACTGGAAAGGAGAAAGTTTATTAGGCTCTAAACTTTTTGAAGAATTCACAACTTAAAAAAGTGCATTAAAAGCAAGAAAAAATGATTTTTTAAAATTTCTTTTTATATTTTTATATTTTTCTTGTTGCATTATGTTTAATAATAAACAACAAATAAGATAAGCAAATGTGAAATAATCTTAAAAGTGTAATCTTTGCAATCTAAAGTGTATCTGTGTGATTTGTTTTTTTAATTAAATGCCATAAAGCCGATGACAAAAGAATGTGATGAGTTCTTGTAATCTTTCTGATGTAATATTTGGCAGGTCAAAAGAAGAAACAGTTGCAATTTAATTGTGTCAATATCAATATGTCATGTATGACAAGTAGAGAGATTTTTCTTCTATTATACAGTTCGATAAACGTCGTACCTCTTATTGAACCACATTATTTTTTTAATTCTTATTTTTTACTAATTTTCAACATTTTTCAATAAAATAATATTTTTCATTATATCAATAAATTTTTCTTCTTTTTCAACCACATATTCTCTATCACATTTAAAAAAAGGCGTTCTTGAGTTGATAATGTGCACCAAATAGGGGCCGATAACACGTAGCTTAAATTTCAGCGTGACTTATTTTTGAATACTACAAGTGTCAAAGCTTTAGTAATAAAAAAAATTAAACTACAAGCCTTGAATTATGTAAACAAATTAAATGAAAATAGGTTTTACATTTAAATTTGGACTTGTGTCCAGAAATTAGACCCCTACTTCCCTATGTGTATTTTGATTCTTCTTTTTGTATAAAATTGTAAGTTAATAAGATAATAATGTGATAGAAATGAGTGGTAATGATAAGTGGATAGCAATTGTAAATCTTACGAAATGTAAGATTAACATTTAATTTTAAAAAGTAAATTATAAGTTACTTTTTAAGTTCTCTAAAAATGGGCAAATATTTGAATATTTGAAAACCATCAATTTTATGGTCTGATGAATATTTTACACTAACCACCAAGAGTTGGCACCAGAGAACCCAGTAAGGGGGATTGGTAGTTTTGTATGAGACCAGGGGCAAACGCAAAAGTTTAAAGTTAGGGGGCACAATCCAACTTGTAAAGAAGTTGAGAGAAATTTTACAATCGAAAAATTACGTTAAAAAAAATCATACACCGTATAATTTTGCATCCTAAAATTTACATGAGATATGACTTTTACGGATGTAAAATTTCGAAATTTTTTGATATCATATTTCATATAAAATTTTCTAAAAATTTCAAAAAAAAAAAAAAATTGTGTCATATTCCACATAAAATTTTCTAATAAAATGATGAAAATTACATTGAGAAATTTGTATTGCAAAAATAATAAATGTTAATGAAATAATTGAATTTTTTAAAAGAAAATACGAATGAGAAGCCTTTCTTTAAGATTCACGTTTAACTATTTTCGATATCCGTTTGGACTATTCGATATACCTGTAATGTAGTTCTCAAAATAAGTTTTGAGATGATATAAGCAATTTGTAGATTCAATTAGTGTACGATTGTTGAAAATTTTTAAAGTTAGCATATTATCGAAATTTTTGAAATACTAATTTTGAACGACGTACTTTGACAAGTCGTAACATTTATTACAATTGATTGTTTCGTACGCCATTAACGACATAGAAAATTAGACCATGAGCACTTCGAAATAGTATTAAGAATGCTATATTTCGATTTTGTTTCACATCCCATAATGATTTCGAAAATTAAAACAAAATATTGAGAAAAAAAAGGAAGCAAAGTTGGGGGGTCAAGTGACCCCCCTAGGCCACCCCGGGTCCGCCCCTGTATGAGACTAGCAACAAATAAATGGAAGCCAGCTAACTCCTAGACACCAACTTATAATTAATGCGATTGAAGAGTCTAAATTAGTTCTGGTTCTTTTTATTTCTCTTTCTTAATCGAGAAATGAATAAAAACTTGAACAATTGAATGTTTAAATGAGGGAATTCAACAAAGATCTAAATGATCTCTCCGATTAAAGACTGATTCTACAACTATAATGCAAGATTAAGGAATCAGAGACCAACTTGTTATTAAAACTATAAATTGAGGACATTAGTGCAATTTTCAGAAAATACAAATTTATTCATAAGGTACGTTTTTGAATATTCATCGTTGAAGATCATATAATGCATTAAATTTTTAGATAAGTAGATTAAAATTAACGCCATCAATGCACCTAAATTCATTCCAAAAAGCAAGCTTGTTTGTTCATGAATCATTGTAAAACAACCTCAAATATGGAATGGAAAGATTTCAGAGGGAAAAATGAAATCGTAGAGTGAATCAATTATTTTAAAATTGGGTGTGTTTAGAATTATTTTTTTCGCCTTCCATTCTTGCTATTTCATACATTTTCCTTCTATGGCATGACTTATGTGGTCCAAAAGTTCCTTCCTGAATTTTTTAATTGATATTTCTAAAGGAAGATTTCATTAGATTACCTCAAGAAACGAGTCAATTATTCAAGTTATTTCTTAAATGTCATGAATCATTCACTTTCATTACATCGATGCAGAATATCATCCGAAATAGCAATAAAACTTTTTCACAATTTTATAATTTTTAATTTAATTAGACATTTTTAAGAATTAAGAGCCCAAGAGTGGCAAGATTAGAAGATGAATGGCTACTTACTTAATGGTAATATTGGATTATTAAAAAATGGGGTCTAGGTTAATTTTCAATATCGCAATTGATATGAATTATTGATCCCTCAATAACTGACTGATGTTACACTCAATTTCATAAGAAGCCATGTGGAAATGCTAAAATAAGACGTGGCAAAAGTGTGAGCTCAATATTGTGAACTCGTGTCGATATCAGGTTGTTGAGTTCATAATAAATCACTATCTATTATCGAGCTTGAAGACCAATGCAATTCAGAAAGTCAGATAAAAGAGTTTTGACCCGTTATACACGCAAGTGGGGCAAGAAATGAGAATATTGAAACTCGATAAACATGTGGATAAGGGAAAATTTGCATTTTTGGTCTCAATTTATATTATTCGAGTAGATAAACTTTTGCCATGAGCAAGTTTCCGGTCTTTTCCTATAGTTTCATAATCAATCCCAACTTGGACACTTGCCTAGAACTGTGAAGTGATGCATGTTCCTATCATGTCCATGTGGAAAATGGCTCAACCTCTAAACACATTAGACGGCTGCTTAAGTCTCCATATTTGACAAGACCCGCAAATTTCGAATAAAAATTCATTCCAAAAATTTTACTGTCGGGACCTTTGAGTCAATTTTTTTTGTCAGAAATTATTAGAAAAATTATCCAAATAAATTTATTCATAGAAAGAAATGTTGGAAAATTCCAACATATGGGGCCACACATGTATATATATAAAAATGTGTGGTGCTATTTTTTTTAAAAAAAGTTGATTCAATAAAGTGATCCATTAAAGCTAATTTTGGATTAATGGGTATTAAATGTCATGTAAATAAAGTGTAGAGACCAAAGCGGTTATTTTAAACTGATGAGGAGTCAATTTGAAAGAATTGAAAGATAATAACTACATATCTAATTATTATATCATGGGTCACAGTTCTCAATTGAACGTGAGTTTTTCCATCTCTCTGCATCCTCATCAACAAAGAAAATTTCTAAAGAATTACGTATAAATTGAAAGATCATAACATGTTCAAGTAATCACATATATGAATCAAGGTATGCTTCCGCTTCTAATCTTTTCTTTGATTTAAACATGAAGAATTTACATGCATGTGAGTGGGTTTGATAGAAAACTTAACCCTTTTCGATTCCCACAAGAAATTCAACCACTAACTAAATTAATAAAGCTAAAATAATAAATATTACTAACTTAAAAGTCCATAGTCAACAAAATAACATTTTAAAATAATAAATTTAATTTACTGATAGAAGTTTTAATAGTTAAATAATATAAAAAATGTACTAAAAAAACAACAAATTAGTTAGAGATTTTTATCAATAAAAAGAGTAATAAAATTAAAAAAATTAAATGTTATGAAATTTTTTGATGAAAACAAAATAACAGTTAAAAGAGTAACTTCTTGATGATATTTTATATAGATATATAAAAAGATACTTTAATTCAATCATCGATAACTCATAAAAAATTAAAAATATAGAAATAACAAAATTTTGTTGGTGATACTGACGACTTCCACTAGCGACCAAAGCCCCGTTAGTGGTTTTCGAGATAATCGATAAAAACATTGTGTTGATAATCGTTAAAAAGGATATGTAGT